CTGATAGTGGTGGGAAACTATGGGGGGGAGGGGAAGGGAGATGGGATTAATGGTAGTAAACATCTGTCTGGGGACAGGGAGACACCTCTTATCAACCAGGGTGCCTGAACGAAGCATATTTGTATGCCTAACCCTTAACTGTACCCTACAATATCATAATAAAAAAATATTGATTATAAAAAATAAAAAAAATAAAAATACACTTTCAGATCAGTTTTAAGGGTTATTTTAACTATGAGAAAATACAGATTAAAGTTATTCAATAAAAAATTCAATAAAAAATAATCATGCTGAATAATTTAAGTCTTACTACTTTTATTTTGGTTCAGCCCCCAAGTATAATAATGTAGATTCTCATTGTTACTTTACTTGCCTCCCTGCATTTAGGTATTTTGAAAAATTTACATCTTTCATAATTTGAAAGGCAGGTTGCCAGTGCTTTCTTGTATTTCATGTCATCTTACATTTTTATATATATTCTATATAAAAATTGAGCATAAAATATGTATGTTAAAGTAAAATATACATCTGGGTACTCGTCATTCAAATTATGAATTAGAAAATTAAGAGTCTTAGCAGGCCCATATACCCCTTTCCAATTGTATCTTCTTCCCCATCTCTCCAAGATAGCCTCTAATGACTTTGTATTATCTTACTTTATAATTTTCCCAACACCTGTGAACATTGCCCTAAATATTTAGTTCTGACAATATGAGCAGCAACCATGTGTCTAGTAAGGAAATGGGCAATAATGCTGCTGTTAAATTAAAACTAAACAGTCCTAGCCTGGCTTTACCTTCTCCAGCGTTTATGGATCCCCTGTGGAGAAGCTAATTTATCAATACCACGAGTGAATAGTGGGCTCTTCACAATTTACAGAAATTGGTACCTGGGCAGTTAATTTAGACTACTCAGATCGCTCTCAGCATAACTGGAGACTACTGCAGAGATGTTAAAAATACTCGAAAATAACAGTAGCCTGGGAATAGGGACTGGAGACCAAAAAGAAAAAAATAGGAGATAAGCTTTGGGGATGATGGATATGTTTATTATCTTGATTGTAGTGATGGCTTCATAGGTGTATGTACATGTCAAGTTTATCAAAGTACACTTTAAATAGGTATAGTATATTGTATATCAATTCTACTTCAGTGAAACAAATAATAGAAATGTTAATAAAAGTCTAAGAGCAGGGGTAGAAGACACCGAGATACACGTGCAAGTAGAGATCTAGCTAAATCACAAAGCTGCCAATTAGTAGGTAGGACTGGTGGTTCAACCTGCCCACAGTCAATGGTTGCACAAAAATTGGGATGTGCCTTTCTGGGTGGGGAGGGATCCCTGGGTATCAGCACTTATTTTAAATAATTTTTTAAAAACTGGAAGGTACCTGCTGCTGGTAAAACAGCTAAGCAAAGAACTTTTCTTGCTGGTGATCATAAATCTGCTTTTCTGGCTCCTCTTGTAGGAAAAAAAAAAATCACATAAGAACCAAAATTACTTCCATGTAATACTTGTAAAATTATCCTAATTTTACTAGTTTATAAGCTATTCTCATAAGAAGCATACAATTTAGGAACAAAAAAAAAAAAGCTCCACTTTTCCTGCTTGCTTTAGTCTTTGTCACTTCTGAGCTTTCTTTCTTCCAAAGTCTGGTAATCCTTTTCTTTCCACTCTTATGAGTGAAAGGACAAAAAAGCTTTTCAGATCTGTATACACTGGTAAAGCTCACAGTCTTTGAGTTTCACCTTCACTTACGGTACTCTGAGTGGGCCCTTTATTGGGGAACCTCTGATGTCAGTAGCTTGGATTGTTTCTCTTGGGCTGGCCAGTTACCCAGAGCAGAGTCTGCCCATCTGCTGAGGATTTGCCTATCAAAAGTGAAGGAGGAATGAGGGCCTACCATATTCAGTATTGTGTATACCTAAATTCATTTCATCCCTGTTTTCAGTGTGCTTCTCATGTACTTTAGTTCGCTTGAAGATCCCGTAACTCAGGAACTAGTATTATTTTTTTCCGGAAATAAACCTCCAGTCTTCTGTGGGAATGAGTGGTACACTTAGAAGTCTTTCTCAAATAGCTTTCATGTAGTCCTCTTTAATTTACTTCATTTTCAATTCTAGGGTCCCTGTTCCAGATCCTTTTGAGAGTGTAAACTGGAACTTTTCTGGTGTGCTAAGTCACATTTATTAATCTGTTTTCCATCTTCTAAAGTTTTTTTAGCTGCCATCTTTTCTCCCATTTTCCCCATTTATTTTTTACATCCCTTTATTGAAGATTTAGTAGAGTTTTGGAAGAGAGTGAAATGAGATGAATATACTTAGTGCAAAGAACTATTTAAAAAATATTTGGGCAAAGAACCATTTCCACTGTGATTTAATCTTATTGGAAAATGACTCTTAACCCCATGCCTTTCAGATAATTCAAAATTAAATCTACATAGATATTTCAAATTGTAAATTTCATCCTATTTAATTCCCATTAAGAAACACAGCTTTAACTTAATAATTTGTAATTTGTGAAAGCTTTTAGGGAACTGGCTTAAGTTGCCCTTTTAAATAACAGATTTCCTAGCAAAAATTTAGCTAGCGTAGTTAGGTAAATGTGTCCAGTTCTTTGTTAATTTATATGGGTTAGCATAGTTTGTCTTTATTATTATACAGTTGGCCTTTAGGTTTATTTTAGCCCCTGGGAGAAATAGGTCTCCTTGGGTTCACAATTTAGTGAATGAACAGTTTGAGTGCAGCGGGGACTTGAAGCTGCTCCTGAAGTCATAGAGGTTACTATTTTAAGAGCCAAACAAGTTAAGGGCTAAGAGAAATCCCCTATTATTCCGAGGACTTGGATGTGTGTGGTGAGGGGGGCTGAGTGAGAGTCCCCATCAATAGCTTTTACAATGATTCTAGGTTAAGGAGTGAAGACTTAACCAGCTCCAGTCTTGGGCTAACAGAGAACTGTCATTTTATGAGAGGTTAGGGTGCCTGATATGGTTTAGTTGGTTGTCCCCTCCAAATCTCATGTTGAAAGGTAATGCCCAGTGTCAGGGATGGGGCCCAGTGGAGGTGATTGGGAAAAGGGGAGCAGATCCTTCATGAACGGAGTGGTGCTGTTCTTGCAGTAATAAACGAGTTCTTGCTCTATTAGTATCAGCTGGTTGTTTCAGAGCCGGGCCCCTCCCTTGCTCTCGATTGCACTTCTGCTCTCATGATATGCCAGCCCCCCTTGCCTTGCACCATGAGTAGGTTTCCTGAGACCTCACCAAAAGCAGATGCCAGCACCATCAGAGTATGAGTAAAACGTTTTTTCTTTACAATTTACCCAGCCTCAGGTATTTCTTTATAGCAACGCAAAATGGAATACAGTGCCCAAAGTTTTTGTTAATCATTCCTCTCCACGAAGTTCAGATGACAATAAAAACTGAAGGAAAACTGGTAAAGAAAGGCAGTACATTGTTGTCACTGGGCTCTAGTACACTCGATTGAAACAAGTGAGGCACATTTCCCAAGCTAGTTAAGCCTAGAAAATTTCAAAGATTATTCCAATACACTTGCCAGCACCAAAAGATATACATATACTCAAACAGGTGGGTGGCAAGAGATTTTGACCCTAAAGGCTGGCGTACAGCTTGGTATAGGCCTAGAAGCCAGATTATCCAAGTTGAAAGGAGGTAGTTATGTATGTTCAGAAAGGGTAGGTACTATGCCTGGCTGAAGGTAAAGAAGAGAGAATAGGAAACAGACCTTCTTACCACTTAAGCAGCTTGTACAAGTACTAAAGGAGAACGAAAGTCACTGGCGTGACCCCTAGAACACAGCCCAGTGTCTCAGAACTTAACATATCCATAACAACTCCTCCTCCCTGGGAGGGAGGGTGATAGAGTGAGAACGTCAGTAAATCCTCTCCTCTAAAAGCACACTACTTTAAGGTAATTTGGGATTACCATAACACCTCCTTACCCTCATCAATTCTAGCTTAAACTTCCTGAGGCTTTTTATCATGAAACACTGGCAATTTTCTTGAAAAAATCAAAATGAAAGCTTACTTCCATATCAAATAGCTATAATAAACTGAATTAGAACTCTGTACAAAGTCAATATTAAGATATTCTTCTCATACTAGCAGGATCTGGAGGTGAGATGTTGTAACTATTGCATAACCTGGATTTCTGTTCCCATGGGGATCACATTTTAACCCACAAAGACTTTGCTTAGACCTACTACTTATTTATGAATAATACACTTAGTCAATGCTGCGGGAAGAGAGAGAACATTATTATTGGAATTCAGAGATGAGAAATGGTACCAGTCATTTTTAAGTACTTCAGGTCTTGACATGCTAAAACAGGGAGTGGGTTGGGTCCTAAAATCATAGAGAATTCAGCTAGGCTTTAGAAGAACAGCGTCACTTAGATTCTTCTAGTTATGCTGTTGCTCTAAGGTGCCAGTGTTTCTTCGCGAGGGAAGGACCCTGATATTCCAAAGGTCGTGCTCCGGATTAGTACAGTTAGTCTGTGACCTTGGGCAAACAACTTAGTGAAACTTCCGTACCTCAGCGATCTCCAAGTGTAAGGAATACCTATCCCAGGAACTGCTTCAAACCTTTTCGGACTCTTGTTTGGGGCGCTCTTGGGAGCAAGGGCATCCACGTTGCCCAGAGTCAAACAGAATGAACAGAGAAGATCCGAAGGTCGTTCATCCTAAAATAGCCCACCCTCTTGAAGCCAACGTATTTACCTCTCCAAACTGCCCAAGGAGCCCTGACCCGCGGCCAGCCCACCCCGTGGTGGCCCAGGCCGCCCTCCCGGGAGTCAGGTGCCTGATCCCGCCGCACGCTGGCTCCCTTCCTTCTCAAACTCTTACGGAGGTTCGCCCCGACACCCTCTAGGACGGCAGGGAGGGAGAGACAGTCAACGGTAAAAGTCTCTCACGACCCCCTTCCCACGCGCAGGGGCCCTAGCCCAGGGCAGACTTCACCTCCAGACTCTGGGTTCTGGAAATCAGAATATGACGCGGCGGCGCTTGCACTCACGCACTTTCCGGCACCCCGTAGCCGTAAACGTCTCCCGCCGCTTTGATGCCTGGGTCCGTCAACCGCGAGGCTGGGCGGGGTGGGGGTGGGGCAACCTGTCAGTGAAGGGGGAGGGGCGCCGTCCGGAAGCGCTCTCCGGCTCCCGGTTGGATGCGCCTGCGCGCTGTCCTCGGAGCGCTGGTGGGCGGGGCCTGTCGTCCTGACAACCCGGAGCGTTTCTCCGCACAACTGAGCTCGGGTTTTGCTGAGCGCAGAAGTCGTGCTGGCCTCCTCATGGTGAGTTAGGAAAGTGAGGGAGACAGGCGAAGGGGCGAGCATTGATTCTACTTCACCGGTGTTAAATGATGTAATGAGCCCGTCACATTTTGAAGGGGAGCGGGTCGGTTCAGGAAAGAACTCATACCCCGCGGAGGGTCGGCCCTCTCCTGACCAGTGGCCTTCCTGTCCTGGATCCGCGGGACCAGTGGGAGGCCCAAACCAGTTTCTACATACGGGAGATGGCCGGAGCAGTCACTTGGTATCCTAATCTCGCATGGTGCTAAGTTTAAAAATTGGTTCCAACCCAGCAACTTCCAATAATGATAGAGGTTCTCACTAAATTACTCTTATTGAAACTTGGCGGAAATGCTTTCACACCTCCTCAGTAAGTTAATTAAAAGCTGGTGTAGTTTACTCTGCTTTGAAAAGTTATTTTATGAATTGTTTTGTTATTCAAGGTCCTCACTCTGCATTAATTAAATATTATAAAGCTTCTCGTTTTGTTTTTCTGCGCTCTTCAACTGCTGTATCTTCACCAAGGAGACAGGCCAACATGTAGCTATGAGATCATCTCTGTTCTCATTTTGTAAAATGTGGCTTTCATCAAGACATCTTCTATAATTAAAATCAGGAAGTGGAGAATGTAATTACTTAGTTAATTATTTAATTCATTAATTAAGGGAGAATATGGAGCGAACTCTTTGTATTTGGCACTGGGCTAGAAGCCAAAGATACAAAGATGAATATGACAACCCTGCTAGGGGATACAGATTAAACACATTAATAACAATACAGCTTTATAATTGTCACAATTTAAGTATCTAAAATGGGGTAACATAAGTTGGAAATGATGAAGTTGTGGGGAGACAAGAAAAGGAAATGGAGAGCTTTCCTGGTAGGATGCCAGTAGACCTTAAGCCAACTTAAAACTGCTAATAAATATGGGGAACGATAATCACCTATTTGTTACTTTCTGGTGGATACTTAAATTTCTTCTTAGATCTTTTTTGCAATATTTCTTAAAGTGTGGTCTATGGAGCATTTACTTCTAATGCACCTGGAGTACTTGTTTAAAAAATACAGATTTCAGGAAACCACTCAACTCCAAATCTACCCCATTAGTTTCCTAGGGCTGTCAAGTAAGGAAATGCTACAAACTGATTGACTAAAACAACAGAAATTTATTGGCCTACATTTCTGGAGACTAAATATTTGTCCAAGATCAAAGTGTCAGCAGGGGCATGAAGGACTCTGAAGGTCCTAGGGAGGGATCTGTTCAGACCTCTTTCCTAGCTTCTGAAGTTCACTTGGTTTGTAGCAGCATAACTTCATTCTTCGTATGGCATTATCCCTCTGTGAGTATCTATGTCCCAGTTTTCTTTTCTTTCTTTCTTTTTTTTTAATGAGGACACCAGTCATATTGGATTAGAGGCCCTCCCTGTTTCAGTGTAGCTTCATCTTAATTTAACTAATTAAATAAGCAATGACCCTATCTTCTGTTAGGTCATATTCTGAAGTACTGGGAGTTAGGACTTCAGCATATGAATTTTGGAAGGACACAATTCAACCCATAACATCTGCTGAATCACAATGTGGGAAGGAAAGTGCGTGTTTATGCTTTTAGTCCAGGAATATGCATTTCTAAGAAGCTTCCAGGATGATCCTAATGCCCTCTGGACTTTGAAGAACTACTTCACTACATAATGGCTCATATGATTTGTAGGAGGAAGGGGATACATACTTATCCTAAACCCAGTTCATATTAAAAGCTCTAGTGAAAGGTGCTAATTTACCAATCTTTAAAATATGGCTACTTGAAAACAGGGGCAATACTATTTGCATATTCTTCTGTTTAGTACTTATTTCCAGATGGAAGTACACTATTAATTGATAGCAGATATGATAAGGATACAACCCATTTATAAAACTTGTATGGAGCAGAGTCTCTGTTATTCCTATTCATATCATCTTCAGCACCTCAGAGTGCCTTTTGTGTAAATCATTATCTGCTGAATGAATTAGTGAAATATAGGCATTCTTCAAGAAGATGAAATCTACTGATATATGTTAATCTTAGCATTCATATTTCACATAGTGATAATCTTTTTTTTTCACCCCTACCCCTACAGTGATAATCTTTTGGGTTAAACTAGTGTTTCCTGTGTATGATCTACAGATTTCTTACCAGAAATCTGCTGGGCACATTGGACTAATTAGGAAATTATAAGTAGTGTTACTAAAAAATACTTGTAATTGTGAATCTTTATTGAAATCCTGTGCTTTCTAAAATAATTTCCAGAAAAGAATAGATCTACTTAAAACTCATTAGTGAATAAAATCTTCATTTTTGTCATAGTTTTGCCTGCTTTAAGTAATTAGTTTCTTTTCTATAAAAATATTCAGTCATGGGCTGGGCTCAATGGCTCACACCTGTAATCCCAGCACTTTGGGGGATGGAGGAAGGAGGATTGCTTGAGACCAGGATTTCGAGATCAGCCTGGGCAGCATCACGAGACCCTATCTCTAAAAAATATATAATTTAAAAAATCATCAATCTAATTTTACAGAAAAGTTATTTCTTTATAATATGAGCTCATTCCCATACTTGAAAATATGGCATTAGTACCAATAATTAGTCAATGATTTATTGTTCTTTGGAACCCTTTATACCAGTGCCTTCTTGACTGGTACTCTGTTTGGTGACGGTATTTCACTAAACACAAATCATTGATTGCCCTAGGAAATAGTGTAAAATCTACATATTAAAAATTGTCAGTAGGTGAACTTAGTTTTTCCTACACCTTTTGAAAAGCTTTTTTGTTTTTTTTTTTTTGAGTTGGAGTCTCACTCTGTCACCCAGACTGGAGTGCAGTGGCCGCTCCCTGCCACCGCAGCCTCGACCTGCTGGGCTCCGGCGATCCTTCCACCTCAGCCTTCCAAGTAGCTGGAACTACAGGCATGCGCTACCACGCCCGGCTCATTTGATTTATTGTAGAGATGAGGTCTCGCCAAGTTGCCCAGGTGGGTCTCGAACCCGCGGGCTCAGGCAATCCACTCACCTCAGCCTCCCAAAGTCACGGGATTACAGGCTGAGCCACCAAGCCCAGTTTACAAAGCTTTTTATTGGGGAATAATTTTAGATTTGTAGAAAAGTTGCAAAGATGGTACAGAGGCTTCTCCTATGCCCTTAACCTAACATCTTCTCCTAATTTTATTATCTTACATAATCCTTATAAATCCTTATAGATCCTTTCGTTAAAAGTATCTGAATTCCTTTTAATATTTATCAATTCTTTTCTTTCCCAACTTTTCAGGCTCCCAAGGCAAAAAAGGTATGTAGAATTTTTTAAAAAATAGATCATTGTATAAGTTCTTACATTGTATGAATAGAATTTTTCGGAATTGCAAAATATTTTTCTAGTTAGTTTATTTTGTTTGTGGAGTTTACTAAATTTACTTTTTGGACATCAATGCTGTTTACATCATGGAATAATCCTTTATGAAAATATTTCAAATTTGACAAATAGATTTTTCTAGCCTCACAAAAAGGTTTTAAAATAGCCTTTAATTTTTGTTTGTATCTAGACTTGAGGCTTTTTGTTACTTCTCTAAAAGATGTTGGATTAGAAAGCCTTTTCTTCACTCCACTTATACAAAAAAAATTTAGTTATAAAACTTGATGTGACAAAAATAAACCATAAGGTAATATGACTATTTATGGGTTGCATGGTAACACATACATGTATTTCTTGTACCATTTAGAAATTTGAGTTCAATAAGGGATATATAGTTCTATATGTCTGTAATACCCTTTTCTCTCTTCTTTGTAGATTTATACTTTAAGTCAAAGATCATAATCTCTTGACTGGCAGGACAGAGTCCCTGCTTGTATATTTGGTTTCACCTGAAAAGTTTTTGTTTTTGTTTTTAAATCAGTTTTTACACAAAAATCTGATTTCCATCTATTCTTGAATTGGGAACCAGATAACACTGAACCTACACAGTCTTGTAAGGCAACAATTGACTGGGTTGAATAGCAGCTACCCTTATTAGGAATGCACAAAATCTTCAGTTTTCCATAGTTCTGACCATGACCAATACTTTATCTTTCTGATCCCAATGGGATTTGGGTCTTGAATGCCTGCTTTAAGGCATAACCCAAAGATCACTTCTCTATAAATTTTCCCATCATGCTCTCTTGAAGAATCATTATACTCTGTGTTCTTATAGCACACCTTTTGTACATACCTCAATTATAGCCCTTGTATCATTTTTTGGTAATTATTTGTTTATAACTGTGAGCTGTTCAGGGCCAGGAGCATGTTGTACTTATTTTTATGTCCATAATGTTTAGCACATAGTAGAAATTCAGTCAATATTTGTTGAATGGATATGTGAAACCTCATTTAATCTACCACCCTTTAAAAACACTTGAACTCTTGACTGTTTAAAAAAATGTTTATATAAATGTATATTCAGCATTTATACAATTAAATATTTCAAGAAATACTGTTGAGTGCCTTCTGTGTTTGCTTCTGTCAGTCTCCTGGACTCATTACCAACTTGATACTCTCTTAGGGACTGTGGATATAACTGAACAAAACTTATGAAGACTTTGGAAACATTCTGAAGGGAAAGCATTCTGGAGGGCCCTTTGTGTCTGCAGTCACTCATTGACTTGTGTGAACTTTCATTTTCTGTTTTAGACTGTGAAATCTTAGAGGCATCATTTTAAATCTGAAAACTCATTGTCCTAAGTAACTTTGGTGCTTCTTCATGAATGCATGGGTGCTAAATCAATGCTTCTGGATTATTATGTGTATGGCATTGTTTCTCTGAGAAAATGGTGAGATTCTTCCTATGAAATTTGAAACTAAATCCAAGGAAGAAATCACTTTTTAATTATTTCATTTTTAAAGTCTGTAGTTTGGGGATGAGTTAAGTCTATAAAGGGAATTTACAGTGTAGTTTGGAAAACATTGAAAAATATATATTATTCTTTCAGACTTTTTAAAGTTTTTTAAGGGAAAAATAATAAACACACAGAGTACAAAGTTAAAATAGCCTTAAAAAACTTGAAACTTTTCTTCCATCTAGGACATATGATCTGTCTTCCTGGAAGAACCACTGTATATCTTTTCATACATTTTCTAAACTTTAAGGAGTATACAATCCCTTTCCTTCCCACTTGTGGGAGCATTCTGTACTTTCTGCTTTTCACTTAATAATATTTTATGTTATTAATTCTGGAATACTTCTCTTTTTGCATTTTAACATTACTGAAATTGGGGTGTGTCTTATAACAGATAGTATATGAAAATAGTGGAGTCCTGAATTGACATCCATTTTTTCCACAGGGGATGTTTGCTTGTCAGTCACTTAGGCTTATTACCAACTCAGTAATACTAAAGTCTTGCTTAAGGGTTTTGGACCACACTAATGGTATGAGTCGAACTGCAAATCATGTAAACTGGCTTGTGGTTTAAATTCTTTTTTTTTTTTTTTTGACTCGGAGTCTCACTCTGTTTCCCAGGCTGGAGTACAGTGGCACGCTCACGGCTGCCACAGCCTCGACCTGCTGGACTCAGGTGATCCTTCTGCCTCAGCCTTCCAAGTAGCTGGAACTACAGGCATATGCTACCATGACCAGATTATTTTTTGATGTATTGTAGAGGCGAGGTCTCACCAAGTTGCTCAGGCTGCTCTCGAACCCCTGAGCTCAGGCAATCCTCTCATCACAGCCTTCCAAATTGCTGAAATTACAGGCTTGAGCCACTGCCCCCGGTGTGTGGTTTAAATTCTTAGGGAATTTTTTTTCTTCTACCCAGTGTCAGGGTTGAGAGTTGCAAATTTTTTTGGCTGTGCATTTCTGTGTTGTGGGTTCATTTGTCTTTTCTATCTCTAGCTTTATTCATATGTCACTTTTAGACTCCTATCTTGGATGTTGTTTTCTTTTTGGTTAGTAATAAATTAAAGGTACATCTTATATCTGATAACATCTTAGTTTTATTGTAATACGTATATCTTTGGGACCTTTTTGGTTTGGCACAGTGAGATTACCTCACTCCTTTTCATAACTACATCATATCCCATTGAAAGTATGCCATTATAGCCGGGCTCAGTGGCTCACCCTGTAATCCCGCGCCTTTGGGAGGCTGAGGTGAGTGGATTGCCTGAGCCCGCGGGTTCGAGACCCGTCTGGGCAGCGAGACCTCATCTCTACAATAAATCAAAAAATCAGCCGGGCATGGTAGCGCATGCCTGTAATTCTGGCTACTTGGAAGGCTGAGGCGGAAGGATTGCCGGAGCCCAGCAGGCGAGGCTGCGGTGGCCGGGAGTGGCCACTGCGCTCCAGTCTGGATGACTGAGTGAGACTCCAACTCAAAAAAAAAAAAAGAAAGTATGCATTATGATTTTTATGTTGTCCCTATTTTTTGTAACCACAAACAAGGTAGAAATGAAGATCCTTATATAAGTCTTTGCAAACATGGAAGAAAATTTATTTCTTTGATTTAACAAGTTCAAAGCATTAAGTGAGCAGCGGCAAGACAAAGTCCCTGCTCTCATGAAGCTTACATTCTATTCGAGGGTGGGGAAATAAATAATACTATTTCAGATAACTTTTAATACATGGAAACCAAGTAAGATATCAATGAAAAATGTGGAGTAGGGAAAATGATGATGCTATTTCGTATAGAATGATTAAGGAGGTAAAATTCGAGGAGAGTCCTAGATGAAGCAAGGGAATAAGCCAACAATTACCTGATAGGACAAGTATTCTAAGCAGGAGAAACAGCTATTACAAAGACTCATGGTTTGGAAAGACCTCTGTGCTGATGCCAGTGTGGTTGGAATAGAGCAAGTGGAATGAGAAAGTGAAAGATAAAACGTGGTAAGTAGATTGGTTAAACAGGAACCAGTTTTTAGTTCATGGCTAAGTAGGTCATGGTGAAGTGTTTGGATTTTTATTGTGAGTGTGATGGGCAGCCTGGGAAAGTTGTAAGCAGAAGAGTGACATGATCTGATTTATTAAAGAGTCAGTTTGTCATGTGGAAAATTCACTGTAGGGATGCAAGTGTCAAGCGGGAGGTCCTTTTAGGAAGCTGTTGCAGCAGTCTGGACTACACGTCTTCAAACTGGGGTAAACCTACTTCTGGAAGTAAAGAGTACCCTCAGGAGGGTATACAGAGATTTTCTTAAGGATACAAGGGCACAGACAGTTTTATGGGAATCCATTTTTAGATCATTGACTTTCATATTTACCTTTTCCTAAGAAAATCTGCTGTTATAAACTCTTGCCTTTTTACCATTACATCTTCCCCTGTCATAATCACCTTTCTTCTTTATAAAACAAAAGCTTCTACAACTTGGTGAGACCTCATCTCTACAATAAATCGAAAATTAGCCAGGTATGGTAGTGCACACCTGTAGTTCTGGCTACTTGGAAGTCTGAGGCGTAAGGATCACCAGAGCCCAGCAGGTCGATGCTGGGTTGGCCTTGAGTGTGCCACTGCACTCCAGCCTGGGTAAAAGAGTGAGATTCCAACTCAGAAAAAAAAGAGAAACACAAACTAGAAAAAAAGCTTAACTCTAATCCACTCCAAATCTTGCTGGGGCCTGAGGTATAAACCATCAGACAATGCTAGACATTCGTGTTGGCAAAGCTTTCTTTAATCAAGGACTTCTTGTTTTTGTCTGTCATATGTGTCTTTCTGTAAGTGGTGAAATGTGACATTAGAAGGATTGAGATATTTTGAATTCAAGTATATTGTAGTGTGGAGTGGTAAGAGTGGTGATAACTTTTGTTTCGTGATGTTGCCCGTGAAACTATTATCAAACGGTGGCATAAAACAACTCTCACAATGTGTAATTTATTGATAAAACATCCAGACTACAAAGATAATATAATTAATTTTTTTAAAGAAAGATGTGGGTATCAGTAAAAAATGTAAATGAATATGTTATTTTAATACAGACCTTGAAGTTGTCTTTTAGAAACCACTGTACTGCATAGAATACACAAAATAACAGAAGATGTTGATTAGATTGTGGGAAGAATTGCCTTACAGATTGATGGATACATAGATGACTCCAGTCACTCACAGTTAATAATCTGTGACTTTTTTTCTAGTGAAGAAAATGGCATTATTAATAAAAATTTGATGTTCACATATCTCTTCAACTGTGAAGAGATATTACAAAACTTTGAATACTTTTATTTGAATTGATTATATTTGAATTGGATGAAAATGGTGCCCAGTCACCTCAGGGCATGGAACTATAATGAATGGGCAAAAGGGGAGGACTTATTGCCCATATCTGTACTTGAAATTCTATTTTTAGCCAGGTGTGGTAGCTCACACCTTGTAATCCTAGAGCTTTAGGAGGCCAAGCTGGGAGGATCACTTGAGGCTAGGCGTTCAAGACCAGCCTGGGCAACATAGCAAACCCTATCTCTACAAAATAAAATAAAAAATTGTCTGGACCTGGTGGTGTGTGCTTATAGTCCCAGCTACTTGGAAAGCTGAGGCAGGAGGATTGATTGAGCCCAGGAGTTCAAGGCTGTAGTGAGGTATGATATCACCACTGAACCCTAGCCTAGGCAACAGTTAGACACTGTCACTTCAAAAAGAAAGAAGAAAAAAATCTGCTTTCATTTAGGAACACAAACAGGCTTTGGCTGCCAAATAGGCTTTGGTTTCTATGGAACATTCATTGTTGATACTAAAATACAAATGGTTTTAAATTCAGGATATTAAAATTGCATCTTTATAAAACAATGTATGAGGAAATTAAATCAACTTATACTTGGCTCACAATCAGAAATGATATAGGTTGCCACAAGGATGTATATTAACATATTTATTTGTGCAAAAAAAAAAAAAAAATGAACTCAGACTGCCCTTGTTAGAAAATAAATCTGGTATGGCCGATTAGTTTAAGTCTGAAGATGGCTTTGCCCATTAGGTAAATGGTAGACATTTTTTATATTTTGAATGATCTAAATCTATAACTGATGAAAGTAATAGGATAAAAAAATTATCAAAAATATGATTTTTATCTTTCCATTAACATTGGGCTTAAGATTTTGGGGACCACCTTTTCTGCCCAAAACAGTAAATAATGCTGACTATGATATGTACATTAGATATGCACATATAGATCAAAATTATCATCTTAAGAGCATTTAAGAGTAAGAAATTATCAGGAGAAAACTAACTGAACACATAAATCAAAGAGGTAATGGAAACACTAAAACTTTTTATCGTGAGGGCATTTGTAGAACTGGACAAAACTTGAGCCTTGGTTTCAACAACAACAATGAAAGCCAAAGACAGTGGAATGATGTCTTCAATGTTCCGGGAAAAAAAAAATGGCAACTTGGAATTCTGTATCAGCTAAAATAGTTTTCAAAACTAAAGGTGAATTAAGAACATTCTTTCATAACTGAGTTTGCCACCTGTAAAACAGATTACATATATGAGGTATAAAACAATAATCATAATAACATGTGGGTTTTAAAAATAATTAAGATAGATGACAGCAAACAACCCAGATGTTTGTCAACTGATTAATGGATTAAAAATGTATATAGACCTGGCACAGTGGCTCAGCTTGTAATCCCAGCACTTTGGGAGGCTGAGATGAGAGGATTGCCTGAGCCTGGAGGCTCGAGACCAGCCTGGGCAACTTGGTGAGACTTCGTCTCTACAATAAATAAAAAAATTAGCTGGGTGTGGTGGTGTGTGCCTGTAATTCCAGCTACTTGGAAGGCTGAGGCAGAAGGATCTTCTGAGCCAAGCAGGTCGAGGCTGCAGTAGCTGTGAGCTTGCCATTGCACTCCAGCCTGGGTGACAGAGTGAGACTCCAACTCAAAAAAGAAAAAAAATGTGGTATATAAGATGGTCTATTGTTTGACCATAAAAAGGAAGTATTGATGCATAATACAGCATAGATGAGTCTAGAAAACATGCTACATGGAAGAAGTCAGTCACAAAAGAGTGCATGATTCCAGTTACATGAAATGTCTAGAATAGGTAAATCTATAAAGACAGAAAGTACCTTAATGGTTTCCAAGAACAGGGAGTTAGGAAAAAATGGAGAGTAACTGCTAATAGGTATATGATTTCTTTTTTGGAGTGATGAGAGTATTCTAAAATTGATTGTGATGATGTTTGCACACAATCTATACTGAAAGTCAATGAATTATATGCTTTTAATGGGTGAATTGTATGGTATGTGAATTATATCTCAATACTATTATTTAAAAGATGCATGACAACAATAACGCGTAACTTAATTGGGGAGGGATAAATTGGGTTAAGATGTTCTGTAGTCCTTGTACTGATGGGTAGGAAGATAAAGGTATTGATATAGTAGGTATATTTATTGACTTTCCAGAGTAGCCACTAAAATTATAGAAACAGTGGAACTTCTGAATAGTGGAGAGAAAATAGTGCAATAACAAAAATAATCAATTGAAATGATATCAAGAAAGAATACAAAGAGAAAGCAGGATAAAACCCCAAAATAAGATAGCTTATTTATGTCCACATATGCATCAATAAGTACATGAATAAAAACAGACATATTACTCTTATTACAATAGAAAGTTTGTCAGATTGGATAA